TACACTTGAGCTCTGTTATCTCAATTCTGAGCCACTCCATCATCAGTTCAACCCAGTCTTTGATATGGTGTCAGCCCGTGTTACCGCATTAAGGTGGTTGCCCTACCAAGACTACTGTCCTTGCAAGAGGCTATATGGGGCGGCGTGACGAGTGTTTGTGTTTGGCAAGGTGTGCACATGACAGATTTCGCTAGGGGTGAGGAGAGTAGTATGCAACTACTTTCTGTAAATGGCTCATGTTTTCCCCAACCACCGCCCCTCCCTACACTACCTCCCTAGGTTCCCCGATATTTAGTGTGTATTGGGGGTATTTAATTAGGGATAATTAGGACAGATTCAACAAGCTAATTCGGGGGGAACCTAGGCGGGCTGGTATACAGGGGTAGTAGTGAAACCTACACCCCTTGGCGCCCAAACCCTCTGCCGTGCGATGTGCCTGCCTAAACCCCTACACCCCAGTCCCTAAACCCTCAAGTTCCCCCCAACCCTAGGCCCCAGCAATCTGAAGCCCCCAGCCCTAAACGCTAAACCCTAAATCCTAAACCCTAAATCCTAAACCCTGAACCCTAAATCCTAAGCCCTAAACCCCAAATCCTAAACCCTCAAGGCAGGGTAAACAGNNGTATTCACGCCCACCCACTTGACAGATTTCTTAGCAATAAACACTCAGCACGTGAGCCTATTTTGAGCCTTTTAGAGCAAACTTCGGAATTCTTGAAGCGCATGGAGCCATGTCAGAAGAGGAAAGCGAGCAGGTTGGGCGAGCAGGTTGGGCGAGCAGGTTGGGCGAGCAGGTTGGGCGAGCAGGTTGGGCGAGCAGGTCCATATTTGGTTTTTGAAAGCAGTCTCGGCCTCTTGGAGCCAATCTCCTTCCACCGGCCATCCTTTCAAAAGGTAATTTCCAAAGGGCAAAATAGGTCTTTCACCGGCCATCTGAATTAAAGGAAAAATGGGCTATCCGGCAAATCCAAAAGAAAAAACTCTTTTTCACCGGCCATCCCTTTTATCATAGCCTATGAGAAGAAAGGATGGCCGGTGGGTAGGAGATGGCGAACCCTGAACCCTATACAATTTCTATCTATAAACCCTACATCCTAAACCCTGTTAGGAAGTCAACGGACGAATACTGAGCGGCCGCGAAATGCTGGAGGCGATCCGTCGCGACGTTGAGCTGGATTTGACTGTGCTCCACTACCCAGACTCAGCTGCTAGGCTTTTAGGGTCTAGGCTCAAAGGAGTAAGTTTGAACATCGTTTTCGATTTTTATTACCCTAAACCTTTTATAGAATGCCCCTAAGGCCATAAACAAAAAGATATTATAGTGCCCCAAACCTGATAGGCTCAGGAGCTAAGTTGCTGTAGTAGCTGGACAGGTACACTTGACACTTTTAGGGATCCAGGCTCATGAGCCGGAGTATGCAAGTATAGATATTTCTGGGGCTCAGCGCTGGGGTTGAAGTCCCTGTGCCTCTCTCTCTCCGTCCTGGGTTCTATGATCACAAATTTGGGCCTTGGTTGTGCAGGCAGGGTTTAGAGATTTAGGTTTGGAGCCCCTGAACCCCAAACTTTGATAACCACGTGGACGTTAGGGTCAAGGTATAGCGTTCCAGTTTATTTAGCCCTAGTCTAAACTCCCTAAAGGGGGTTGTATAGGGGATTATGGGAGACCATTATGAGGGGTATTCAGGAGGATATTAGGAGTTTAGATTATAGCTCGTGTGACTAGTGGCTATGTGTGAGGCTCAGGGCAGTGTGCAGATGCTACTGGTGGGTCTAGAGCTTCAAACGTTTAGGGTGAAGAGTTGTTCAGACGAACAGTGCGATGTCATCCGAGGGCCTTCGTGATGAATCATGCCCTAAGGCTCCAAATAGCCCAATGTAGGTCATATTTATAGACTTTGGGGCCCAATGTAGGTATTGTTTATAGACATGGAGCCCTAGGGATGAGCGGGCTAAATGGGCTTTGGCTCAGGTTCCGCTCCGAAGGGGCCTGTGCACCGGACCGATAGGGATGTAAACTTTGCTGCTGGAGGCTCATGTGAGACACCAATGTGTACACAAAACGCAAACCACGCCTCCTGCCGCCTCCCTCGCTCCCTAGGGTATGTTATCCCCCTATAATGGAGAATCAGATGGAAAAGGAAATGGAAGATGAAATGGAAACTCGGGGAATATAGGAATTTCAGGAACTGAATTAAGTCCTCCCTCCCTTCGCCCTCCCTCCCTCAACCTCAGACAGGGCCAGGCTCGAAATTTCACCTCAGCCAGGATGGACATTAAACAGCTACAATTGATTGATTTTGTCATCAACAAGGGCGCAGCGCCAGCTGCGAAAGCCACAGAGATTCTAATTTACACATGCGAATCAGCTGGAGGCAGTCAGTGAGTGCGTTGTTGGATCTCGAACCCCCCCAAATGAGATTGCACCCCGCCCGCCCATTTCCAGCAATTGAAACTCTTCCTAGCAATGATTCCCAAGACACATTCCCTTTTGGGACCATGAGCTATGAGCCTAGGAGACCCTGGACTGAGAGCTCAGACTAAAGGGAGTTTCTCAACAACATCTCCATACAGATGGCCCTCAATAATGGCGCCAGTAGCGCGTCTTATCCCCAAAAAAGCCTCACATATCCCTGGGGTCCCTACAGCGAACCCCCATTTCAGACACTTGCAAACAGACCCTCGGACAACCACCCGGAGCCTCAACCTTTATGCCCTAAATGAACGAAATCCAATGAATCCTCGATGGGACCGCCTCGACAAAGCCTCTGCAATCCTCGCATGTCCATGGGCCCCAAGGGTCCCGCTCCGAGAAACTGACACATGTGAAAAGTTCCCAGCTGAGGACAAGTCCGGCCCAGAATGGTCAGTGTTTCTTTCATCCGTGGAGGCTTCATCCGACTACTAACAGGCGCCTGGAAATTTGGGTTGGCCCAGGCCACAGCGGCAGGGGGATCCCCATTTTGATGCATAGTATGGCCGCTTGTCACAGGGCCGTGGCGATGTGTCAGGGTTGCTGCCCGAGCCTGAAGGCCAGCACTTGCCATTTGAATTTCGAGTCAACGATTACAGCCCTACTTGAACATGCATATCCCTCAAAAACATGACTGCTCCATAGAGCCCTCTATACATATACATGTAGATATACATAAAGCCCTCTACATGTATATATATAGATATAGAAAGAGATATATGTATTATACGTATATACACATACAGATGTAGATACACATGTAGGTACAAAAAATGCGCGGCATGTGCGAACCGCGCCCTGGGTATAACCTGGGCTGAATTTGGCCTGGCGAAATACCTTGGAGACATGCTACTTTTTGAGAGATCTAGGGGTTCTCAGAAATCAGGGGTACCTTTTTGGAGGTCCATACCATGAGGATTATAGTATTTGAAGCTCTATATTGGGGTCCCCCTATTTTGGGAAACAACTATGTAGTAACAACTAGTGTACTTGGTGATAGCTAGCAGTAAGGATAAAGCAGCAGTAGCACAAGATTTCACGATAGTAATGTAGAGCCCTGATTAATAACCCCCCTCCCCTTAAAAGGGGTGATAAGAAGGATCCTAATATTAAGGCCTGTAAAAGGAGGGGGTTTATGAATTAGGGGTCTACATTAGTCATGAGAAGACGGAATGACCATTGTAGCGAGAATCTGGGCGCCGAGTGCTCCGCAAAGCGGATGGCTCATGGCTAGTGCACGCGATGGACGCGTGATCCAGTAAAACAACCGAGCAGACGAGCTTCAGGGGGCCCTGGCTGGGGCATGCCATCGATATGATTTGTTTCCTATACCTAGACCCAGACCTTGCAGCTACCCCCTAGTGTGCCTAAGTACCTATAATTAGGGGCTCTATATTTCTAAATAGGGGTACTGGGAGGGGGTCTGGTATTGCGAGAGCTTCGACCCCCTGTAGTATAACGGATCCAGTGCTTCCGTCCGCCTCACAGCTGTCTCTCCAGAAGACAATTTGGGACGCCTACCCTTGAGCTCCTATGTAGCACCATGTAGTTACTTCTTCGATTTGTCATGGATTCTTTGGTAAGTGATCATAACATATTACCCAAAAGTGGAAAAGAACATGGAGGTTGCCATATGGTGGGGAACAACGTAGACGCTACGGCATGTTTCTCCATTGCGCACTAACAGCCGGGGAGATTGTGAATCTGGCCAACTGGCAAAGTTGTTGGTTCCGATGCTGCGGAGACACCCTAGCCCTAGACCCTACACCCAAAACCCACACTTCGTGAATTTGCATATGAAGGCCCGACTTCTGCTGTTTCAAGCAGGTTTTTGCGGGGTTCGGGGCTTTTTGGGGAATGGTAAATTAGTCCCACGTTTCCTGAACCCTAAACTGCACCTCCGGCACTAAATTCGTCAGGCCATGAATCCTGATCCCTTCGCCTTTGAATAATCCCGGGGCCAAGAAGTTCGTAGGGGTGACCAAGCTCTCTACATAGACCCTCCGTCTGCACTCTGCTGTGGCCTAACTACCCGCAATAAGGGACCATGCCGCCCTGAAATTTCCCTCAAATCCGAAACTCTAAACCCCCTTATCGGACGGGATTGGTGAAATTCCCAAACCTTGAATCATAAACCCTAAGAGCCGTATTGAAAGGTATTTGGGAAGATTCCTAAACCCCCAATCCTAAATCCCAACCCCCCCCCCCCTATCGAAGGGTATTTGGTAAAATCCCAAAACCCGAAGTCCTAAACGCAAAACCTCAAAGGTACATAGTCCGACTGGGCAACAAGGACCCCCGAGCGCAAGCTAGACCCGAAAACAGTCCACGGGGTTGTAAAGAAAAACAAAACCTCCTATTGAAAGGTACTTGGCAAAATTCCCAAACCCTAAGTTCAAAACCCAAACCCTCCTATTGAAGGGTATGTGGTAAAATTCCCAAATCCTAAGTTCAAAACCCTAGAAAGTACCCTAAACCCTAAACCCTAGGGGCCCTAGAGAGTACTTGGCTGTCCGGGAGCCGAGAGGTGGCAGCGTGCGCGAGGAGCACCTGGAGGTCTGCCAGGTTGTGGAGTTATAGGGTTTAGGGTTTAGGGGTTTAGGGTTTAGGACTTAGGTTTCATAGGTTTTAAGTTTCAGGGTTAGGGTTCAGGATTTAGGTTTCATAGGTTTTAAGGTTCAGGGTTAGGGTTCAGGATTTTGGTTTTATAGGTTTTAAGGTTCAGGGTTAGGGTTCAGAATTTGGGGTTTAGGTTTATAGGTTCCGGGGTTTAGGTTTTAGGGCTTAGGGTGTGGGGTCTTGAATTTTCGTTCATGGAGAATCAAATGGAAAAGGAGATGGAATCTGGGTTCACATAGGGGTCTATAGGGTACTAATTGTGTTGGGGCGCTTCCTAGAGGAACCAGCGTGCTCAAAAAAGCTGGGTGTTGTGCTTCCCGTTTTGGGATGTTTTCTTCATGTTAAGCTTCCAGGGTTTAGGGCTTGGGATTAAGGATTTAAGGTCTGCGGTCTAGGATTTCGGGTGCCAAAGTGTCGTTCTTGCCTGGAAAGTCAACGGTTACGGGGGACAGTATGGGGGAAGTTGTTGGGTGGACTTGCGGCCATAAACGCCAATCAAGACTTAAGTAGCTCAATGGGTAGACAGAACGGGGTGTGGCGATTCCTGCGTCAGAAACTTCTTTGCTATTCCGTTTCTACCCAGAGCTTTCCAGGAGTCGTCCCCAAACCCTAAACCCAAAATATTGAAGCCAGCAGCACCCCAGCAGCTACCCTGAGGTCTTACTAGATGGTGTCTAGGCTCTGTTGGGGGGTAGTGGGTGGGTCTGGATGCACCCTCAACCATAAAGGTTTTCAAAAGAAACCAAAGCTTAGCTTGCCTGGGTCACTGGCTCCTTTTCAACGGAAGCCATGCCCACGTCTTTCAGGGATTGCAGAGGAATGTTTTTGAAGAGGTGGCTGAAGGCGCAAAGAAGGTACTAAATTTCCTTGGAGAATATGGTGCAGTTGCTCTTTTGCTGTGACAACCTCCAGTTGTACTACCTCGACAGCTGAAAGCACAGGGCTTCTTATCTGTGCCTAGTGCTAGGCAGTACGTGCCAGCACTTCACAAATCTTCAACGTTTTTTGAGAATCACCCTCCAGAGAACCTTCAACTTACGATTGACTGTTATAAGGTCATTTTAAGGCTTGCCGGGGTATCTTTGCTAGCATTGCAGAATTACAGCAACACGTAAATCGGCACGTGGTCTCTCCAACTTGCACGTCCCCACAGAGCCACATGTAACCAAAAGCCATCCCATCCATCCCTTGTTGGATGAGTCATATGATATACTTGGAGGGTCAGGGGGACTTAGTAAGTGCACCTATACCCCAGAAAAGCCGCAGTAACCCCAAGTATCCTTATCATTAAGACTAGTCCCCGAACCCCCCCTAGTATATGTAAGTGCTTAACCTCCAAACACCCTAGGTCTGGAGCACCCTATAATCCTCCATACTTGTTCCCACTCATAGCAGTAGTGTTTTGCAATATGCTTAATTATTAATTCCCTAGGAGACACCTAAGCAGCGAGGCCCGAAAGCTACGCCTGCAAAGACGCTGCGCTGCGGAGGGCGGAACACCGGCAGCTGGACAAGGCTGTGATTTATAGTCCCCCTTAAGTAGATAGAATATAGCTTTGGGTATACTACAATAAGATCCCCATAAATCCCATATTCTATCTAGTTAATGGGGGACTATATCCTTACTCCGGTGAGGCAAACAGCCCAAGGTAGGCAATACTTGAAGATTTCATTTCCCAATTTACGTGGAGGTTTCCCAAAATTTGGGGTACTGTTCTGGGGGCCCACAAAACAAGGACTTTAGCACTTTGGGATCTATTGGGGTCTATTTAGGGAAGCTACCATGTATCAGCTGTATACTCAGAGCAATATCAAGAGACGTGTGTAATCAGAGCTACCGCTCTTTGAATATCAAAGGATGTGGCAAAGAGGTTTAAGTAGCACTTGGAAGGTGGATGTGACATTGTCATAGCAGTTATGAAAACAACCTTTGCTCTGGTTCTACACGGATGGTGCTGGGTACATGCCCTAAATCCTCAACCCATAATCCAGGCTCACGCCTGCTCTTCAGGGAGAATCTCTGCTAGCACGGGGGGATAACCACGGCATTTCCAGCAGCGTTAGGTGGATGGGCAGGAAGGGAATTTGCAGGTCAAGTATTGCAGGGAAATTAAAGGCTTAGGGGACCTGAAAGGAATTTGCATGTCGAGATTTGGGGATGGAGTTGAAGCCCAAGGGAACTCGAAGGTAAAGACCGAAGGAAATGAACGGACTTTTCATATCCAATGATGAAGTTAGAGACCAAGAGGATATGAAAAGAGTTCGCATATCATCCCCAAGGCCTTACCCCTCAATAACGTATTACGCTCAATCACAAATGCACAACCCTAAACTCGCAGCTCCAGACCATAACCTATACCCCTAGACTCAAATCAAACTAAACTTGAAACCTCAAACCCTGAACTTTACGAACTTCCGAGAACCAACAGTGCTGATCAAGTGCTGCGCAGCTTTGTTCTTCAAGTGTTCAAGCTTGTATAGCCTGAGAGTTTAGCCATGGTGGCTAGTGGCGCGCAGAAACGCAAAATCCGTGCGATCTGCGAGAGTCACAGCAAGGCGGTGCTGGGACCGCAAGTGTCATGAAATCGCGTAACATTAGTGGTGCTTAATTTGCCATAGCAAAATCATAAAAGTCCTGTTGCAGCAGCCTGGTTCTATCTGAGGTCATTGCGCGGACTGAAACTCAGCGTGCACTCAAGTAGTCGGGAGCTGGTCAGGGTAAGAATCTGAAGGTTAAAGTTTACCAGAGATGCATTACCTGCACATGTTGTGTAGCAACACAGGCTGTGCAAGAGGGTGCTGTTGGTTTATCAGTTAGTAAGTCGGTGCTGGACAACTGATGTGTTTACTTGCTGAAATGATTGTTTTTTGAAAGGATGGCCATGTCAAGCGAGCGCTCGCCGGATGCCGGTACAAGATGAAGTTCGCAGACGTGGAAGAGTATTTCTCGGATACTCAGCACGTTTCATTGAGTGTTGTTTGGCTGTTTGATACAATCAATCAATATTTTGTCGTGCACGTGCCTGTCAATTGATTGGCCTTTGCATAACATCGGTCGATGCGAGGCAAGTCAGTTTGGTTCCATGAGACGGGTGCGCTTGATGATGGGTGCAGTCTCAGCACGCGTGCGAGTCTCACGGGTGTTTCTGTTGCCAAGCCCTTAGCTGCGCGAGGCCAAGCGTGCCGCTAAGCAACGACTGGAAGAAGTGCGGCGATGTACAACATCCAGTCGAAAGGTGCCGTTTGCGATTCTTCAAACAGGGATAACAAGATTAGTGTAACGTCCTTGGCTTGCTCGTGTAAGTTTTGCAGCCTGGCATGGACTTGCCATGTTGGGTGGGTGTCCAAGCTTCTTCCCGGCTGTGTATTTGACAGGGCCACTTCCTCCGGGCTCCTCCGGAGGAGAGAGCATTTCTCGAGGTGTCCCTGGGCTTTTGGGTTCGTGCCCAGTACCTGGATGTTCTGGAGTAGCCGTCTTACCATGTTTCACGTTACTTCAAGCAAAGATAGATATAGAAATTTCGCCACGCAGCGTAACAGTAGCAAAGCAAAGCCGTTCCAGCCTGAAGCTTTGACGATATTGCAAGGTGGCTTTTTCGCCGACGCAGTGGCGCTCCAGGTGGCACATGCCGCTGGCGAAGCTGCCAGAGGAAAAATCCTGAAACATGATAGTTGTTGTTTTTCTCCGGGGGATGCCACGTCTTGTTCATCTTCTTGCAGGACAGGCCGGCTGCTTCCGCTGGGCGCAGGCGCGACATGAGGCATGGTGCCATCTGCATGTCTTGTGACGCAGCAAGTCGCGTCAGGAAGAATGGGAAGCTCCGGCGCCCATGAGGCCGATCTGCGCAACGTTGAAGATCTAAGTGTCCCAGCCTTTGCACCTTGCTTGTTCTAATGTGGCACCCGCTTTAGTGATGAGTCCCCGCAAAAACAATTTAGGGCGTCATGAATCAAAATTGTTTGAGGGCCCGAGCTGAATCCTAATGGTATAAGTATTTTTAGTATTCGTTTTAGTCTTAGTATTAAGTATCCTTAACCTGACCTCTGAGCTGTTCAGGGTTTCTAAGCAAATAGGAAGGTCTTAGGAATTTGGCAGCCTTGAGCTCAGTGTCCGCCGGGGTTCTGCTTTGATGTCAGGATGAGCAGCATAGTGTATGGGCTGAACACGCATCGGCTCGGGCAGCGGATCCCAGGTGTATGGGTTGCAGGCGAGTGTTCATGTGGACACACACCCACTTGAATGGATATACGTCATAGTCTGAACTCCAAGCATCCCCCAGAAGAACCCAGATAGTCCCCTATATAATCCCTCATATAAACCCCTTTAAGGGTTTAGACCATAGCCCTTATGTATATACATGTATATATATATGTGTGTATATATATACATCTCTCTCTCTCTCTCTACAATTTGGTGGGTTCCTCTACTGCGTGCCCTTGGGCCCCGACATGCTAGCGTCTTCCGGTAGGCCTGAAACAAACCACAATAGCGGTCTAGGGTTTAGGGTTAAGGCCTCAGACCCAAAGCGTGCGACCTCTGGGCGAGCCTGACCACAGATTCCACTGCCCGCTTCACACCGTCTTCGCATGCCATCGGCGCCACAGTACAGGAGGCCTTATCAATGTGTGAGGTTGTAATAGTAATAGTGTAACTATTAGTCTTAAAACATGTGCAATGATAGTAGTAATACTAGCAAAAATTATAGTGCTCGTATCGATAATAGTTTTAACAGTAGGAATATTAGTGGTAATAGTAGTAGAAAATAAAGTGCTCGTAGTAAAAGAGAGTTTGACTAGTCGAATTTTAAAATATCGTAGTTTCCATTTTCCTTTCCTTTATCCCCTGTATAACCCAAATATTATACCCGAACGTAGTACACCCTATGATGTTACAGTAGTTAGCCATGAGGATCAAGGCTTTGGGGTTCAGGCTTTGGGGCTTTCGGGGTTACGGTTACAGGCTTTGGAGCTCAGGCTGGCGGTTTAGGGATTTAGGGGTTAAGGGGTTTAGTGGTTTAGGGGTTTAGGGGTTTAAGCGTTTAGGGGCTAAGGGTTCAGGGGTTTAAGGCATGAAGTCAATTACTGCTGGCGTGTTTGAAGATCGGAACTCAATGCTCATGAAGCTTCCTTGGGCCTTAGACCTCAGGCCTTAGCAGTCCAAAACGGAGTTACAACGAAGCACAATTGGCTTTCATGTTTAAGACGGTTCTGGGTTGGGGTATGGCTTCACGGCTTCATTTTGATTCCTCTTGAAAGCCTAGCTTGTTTTGGGTGGCACGCATTAATTTTGTTGTTGGGCTCGCTGGGTTTCCAGCTTGCTGCAACAAGGGCCCAGAGTGACCAATTTGAATGCAGGGGAGCTTGATAATCTGTCGAACCATACGGGCGTGCAGACAATGCCCGCTTGTTCCATGCTTCTGGTACGTACTCCTTCGACGAAATCTGTTTTTCCTCGTACAGCCTACAGCTGCTTTGTCAAAGATGTTTCAACCTCACACAGGCACACAGGCCATGAAACATCACCTGGAAGCTTGCATTGGTCCCGGCCGTGTGGTAACCCTCAGAGTCCCTACAGAACGCAGTCTTGGACAGACAAAGCCTTGGATGGGAACCCTAAACCCGAAACCCCTGAAACCCTAAACCCCAAGCAAATCTTACAAGTAAGCGTCAAGCGCTTCACATATTTCCCCAAACACTAACCCAAATAATCGGGTTTTAGGGCTCAAGTAAGATAATTTGAATGGTATTTGAATCCCTAAATCCGAAACCCCAAAAGCCTAATCCGCAATCCCTAGTCCTTACATCACAATCTGCAAATCCTAAACCTAAATCCTAATGCTTACAGAGCCTAAACCCTATAAATCCTAAACCTAAATCCTAATCCCTAGACCCCTACCCTAGACCCTAAACCCTATACCATACATAACCCATATGATAGCTTCCATTTTCTTTTCCATTACTATTATATATAACCCTAAACCCAACTTTGGGAGGGATCCTAAGCCCTAAACCCTAATTCCTAAACCCTAAACCCTATAGTCCCCCTTATGTAGATAGAATATGGAGTATATGGGGATCTTATCATATTCTACCCAAAGCCATGTTAGAGTAGTTTCCCATTTGCCATTATCCCAATAGAGCCCCAATATGGCCCTAATATTCTATTTACTTAAGGGGGACTATAGACCCCAAAACCCCAAACCCATTATAGCAGTTTCCATTTCCAGTATCCCTATATAACCCCAATATAACCCTATATAATCCCTATTATAGATCCCCTAAACCCTAAACCTGTAATCCCTAAACCCCAAACCATAAACCCCCAACCCTGAGCTTCTTGCTGCCTGCGGAGCTCTCCAAAAGGCTGGCGCAGCGCTATCCTTGGAGCGAGCTGAGGTGGTTTTCGGTTTAGGGTTTAGGGTTTGGAGTTTAGGGTTTTGGGTCTAGGGGTTTGGGGTTTGTGGTTTAGGGTTTAGGGTTTGGGGTTTTGGGTCTAGGGTTTCGGGTTTGGGGTT